TTCATCTCTCTCTCGCTCAGCGCACCCTACCTCCAGGCTCCCACTGGCACCCGATAAATCCCTACAGACTTGACTTCCGAATGACGAGCGCATCTCGAGGCCAGCTCCGCAGGCCGGCCCCGGAGCAGGGGGACTACCGGTCTCCGTGCACGGCTGCCAGCTCAGCGTTCTTAGGAGTCGGGAAAAACATACAGTTTAGGCAACTCCCTCCTTGGAAACGAAGTTGACAACTGGGTTTAAATATTCCCATTCACGCCGTGGGGCCCAGCCTTGAGCGCAAACCGGAATGCCATGCCGCCTTGCTGCCAGGCAGGCCCGAGGGAGGCTTGACGGAGCCACCTGGCAGAGACCGGGCTGCCGTCTGGCCGCATTCCCGCCTACCCCGGCAGCGTGGGCACAGACTCGCGGGCTGCGTTCTCGGGGTTGCCGCGGCAGGATCTCGGCAGACCTGGCTGGCCCTGCCTCTGTCACCGCCCGGCCACTCCCGCATCACGGTGTGACTCAAGTTCCCCGTCACCAGGGTGGGACTCGACTGCTCACACTCAGGGTGGGCGTGGACGTCCTGGATGGCCCTTCGCAGCCGGTGCTTCGCAGAGACACCCAGCACGGCAGGGCGGCCCTCTGACCACCCAACCCAGCCCTCTTCACAGCGAGCGCTCCGGCTGCATTCACTTCGCGTCTCCCCAGAAGGGGTTTGGGGCCTCACGGAAGCTCCATCCCGTCCCTCGAGTGAATCCCTGCATGAGCGTCCTTCCCCGGGGGTTCAAGGGTCCGTATCTCCCGAGTGACTGCAGAGCACAAAAGACAATTCTCCTGCAGGCAGGTCTTTGCACGTGGGTGTCAGAAATGGGACTCCGCCATTTCTAGCGTTTTTAACATTTTTCTCTATTTCGTAGAACTTGTTTGCCTCGACCTTTATAAAAGGAGATGGGGGGAAGCACATGAGTTTTGGGGTAGACGCCCCTAGAGTCAAACCCCTGGCTCAGCCACTTTCTTGCTGTGTGGCCTTGGACAAGTGACTTAGCCTCTCTGAACTCATCCCTTTATCGTTAGAAAGGGGTGATGTCATCCTCTGAGTGTTGCCATGAAAACGAAGCGAGTCCACTGAGCCGAGTACCTCATGCACGGGGCGCGAGTCTGATGGTGGCAGCTGTCTGTATGCACAGCTGTGACATTCAGGAGCGCCTGCCAGGTGCCTAACCACCAAGCCTGGTGCATCTGCGGGGTCCCCGCAGGTGGGTTCCGTGACGTCCCTGGCAGAAGGGGCTCACGCGACAGTACCACCGTTTCTATCACAGTCGCTCCTGCAGGGGCGGCTGGACGCGGCATGCTCTTCGCGCTCGGGACTGCTCTCCCAGCCTTCCGGCGCGGCACCTCTGCAGCCACCGTAGTTAGTTACTTGGGGTCGCTGCTTTCCTCCCAGGGAGGGGGTCCTCACCCAGGTCTCCATAAACCGTGCCGGATGACCAGCAGAATACTTCAAGGCTGCTAAGGGCGGGGAGGCCCCCTGTGGCGCGAGGCCGGGCTCTGGCCACGGGCGACCTTTGACTGGGTTCTCTGGCTCCTGCACCGACCCACTCGCAGGACAGGAAGCTGAGTCAACGCGCGCCCGGGCCTCTGGCCTGTGGAAGTGACTAAGCTACCGCGAACGCAGCCAAGGAGACTGGGTCAAGTGCCTCTGCAGCCTCTCGCCTCCAGAGATCTCCTCTGCCCCATCCACGGCCGAGGGCACCGAGCCAAGTCTTAAAAGCGTTTGGCTAAGAGGGAATTCTCGGAATGTCCTCCCTCAAGTGCCACCAGAAGGAAGCTGCACGTCTGCACTCGCCGGTGGTCCCAGTGACGCCTGTGAAGTGACCATGGCAGCCCCCCGGGGCCAAGGGCTCCAGGCTATCAGAGTACCCGGGCACAACCTGACAGCTCAAACAACAACAGTGATAATAATGTGAACTGCTTCGTTCAGTTAGAGGCAAGCCATACACTCCCTGCAGCTCCTCCTTTCCCTTCCTCTTCTAGAAATTCAAGATAATTACATCAGAGACTTAAGAGAAGCCCCCAATTTTGTGCTATTTTTTTTGAAACCACGAGTATAACAAAATATAACTTTGTTTATAGACATGAACTACATAACCCCAGGCGTGTCTGCTAACTTCTGAAAATGTAAGCTCATCGCAGAAGCGCCCGGGCTTGGCAGGGGAGGACGGCAGGACCACTGTCCTACCAGCCTCGACTGACACCCAGCCTCGGTGACAGATGTGGTAGCTGTAGTGAGACTGGGTGACTCAGCGGAGAGCATCCTGCAGGCAACGCTTATCTTCACGAAGAGCGCTTTAGAAACGTTTCAAAACGAAAACTGGAACAACGGAGGTTGGCTCTGGCCTCAGAGCCAGGTACCGTAAGGCACTCTGAAGGGGAGTTCAGAAACAGCTTCTGCGGCTTCCTCTGGCCGCCGGGAGCCCCACGTCCTGTCCCCAGCCCTGCTCTCTGGAGCTTGGCGGGCAGGTGGCGGCTCCTGGCAGGGCCGCAGGGGGATGGGAAGAGGGTCGAGCTGGAGCTAAACAGCTGGGTGCGCGATGCGAACACGTTGGTGCAGCCACGGACACCATGCTTTAAAAATAGCAAACAACGTCTGCAGAGGGCGACTGAGAACCCACCTGCTGGAAGGTTTTGGTGGGTGAGGACAGACGCCCTCCCTGGACAGAGCTGCAGTCTGCCGGGGGTTAAAGGGAGAGGTGGTGGAGGAGAGATGGGCGCCTGCAGCAGGAAGTCGCCGTGGGGGTGGGGGTGCTGCACCTGCCCCAGAACTGAGACTCGGGGTGGCCTCCACGCAGCGGAAGGAGGGGCCTGGGAGCCCGCGGTCAGCAGAAGCCAGGGAGCCTGGCTTTCTCGTAGATTTAGGAGATGCTTCAGTTCCCACTGCGTGTTTTCGCCAACCGCATTGTCCCATAAGCCTACGTCATTCCTTATTTTCCCCCGATTTGCTTCTACCTAGAGGTAATTCAGTATCTACGTGTTGACAATCTGTGTTAAAACAGAAGGAAGCCTGACAAATTCCAAGCCGGGGGCGGTGGCGAGTCTACAATCTTCGCAAGCCCCTGAACAAGCAAGTGGGGTGAACACACCCGCCTCTGAGACCGGCCGGTGGAGGAATGAGACAGGTTCCACCGGTCCCACAGGACAAGCCATCCTGCCCTGCCCACAGAGCTGCAGCCGGCACACTCGCGGGCGTGTGAACTCACCTTGGACCCGGGAGACGTGGGCCCTTGATTTCCAGTCACCCCAGTTATCCTGGCAAAGTGGCCAGCAGGACTCGAATTACTCAATTGCATAGATCTGGCTGGAGGTCAGAAAATAATTAGACTTTTCCGTCAAATAAGAAGGGATTTCCTCTGTTTATGCTCAAAATAACACACATAATAAGAGAAAAGAGCGATTTCCCCAACCCTTGCGAGGCTGATTGGAGAGAGAATTTAACAGATGGTGAGTTGTGGACATCGATAGTGTCCTCCTCACTCACCTTTCTGATGAGACCTGACTCCGTGAGCGGCACCCAGCTCACCTGGGCAATCCCACATCACCTCCCGCCAGCCTCCTGCTCTGCTCCCCACAAAGGCCCTCTGTCCGGCCACCTTCAGTCCTCCCTCCTTCTCTATGGTGATGGGTCCCTGATTCTGGGCTGGAATCCCCACTGATGCCACCAGACACCTGCCAGCAGCAGACCCCTGGTGAGAAAGAGAAGGCTCAGTGCTCACTCAGGTCTGTCTGGTCTGTTTCAAGGTCAAGTCCACAGCTGCAGAAAACACAGGCCAGGCAGAACACAAAGGTCTCGGCCTTGCATTAGGAATGTTCCATGGCATTTCCTGACGGTGAGTGTGCACCCCGCAGGGGAGGGTGCAGGGGCAAGTCACACGCACATCACCCTTATACATGGTGCATGTACCACGCCACATCGCACCCCCCCATCACACACCTCGTAGATAACACATCCACCGGAAGGGGGAGGGGCCAAGGGCAGTTGGCTGAGACCCTGCTGGAGCTGAGCAGCAGGGCCGCAAGGCCCCAAGCACTTAGGGTGCCAGTCCCGGATTTCTAGGGACTTTCCAAGGACTTGCAACCAGACAGTGTCTTGCTGGGGGGAAATGGCAATCCCCGAAGTCATCCTTCAACTTAGCATGGTTCACACACACAAACACACGCCCACACCTACACATGTGCGTGCACGCCCGTACGCATACATGTGCGCACACACACAAACACACACCTACACATGTGCGTGCACACCCGTACGCATACATGTGCGCGCGCACACACACGCACACGCCCACTCAGGCACACGCGCCCACACAGCCAGGCCAGGCAGCCCCACAGCAGCGCTGGGGTCGGGCTGATTAAGTGGAAAGTCCCGCGCACCGCGCGCTCGCGTCGCCACGCCGGCCGGTCAGCACCGGAGGAAGCCAAGCCGGGCACGCAGAGCGGGGTCACCTCGCCGTCCCCGCCGCCCGCGGGCAGTCGCTGGAGTGGGGCGGGCGGCGCGCGCACGTGGCGGGATCTGGGCCTCAGAGACACACTGGGCGGGGCGACAGGCGCGGGGGCCGCGGGGCCTTTAAGGGGCGGGAGGGCGGGCCGCGTGGGAGGCCTCGGGGACGGCCCGGGCGCTGGGGTGGCCCCCGCCGGGGACCCGGCCCCGCCCCCGCCCGCCGGCCGCGCCCCTCCTTCGTCCCTGCCCCCGGCCCCGCCCCGCGGCCCGAGCCTCCTCCGGCCACTGCTGGGCCGCGGGCGGGACGCCCAGGGGCGCCGCGCGGAGGAGGAAGCGCGCCCGGGCCGCGGCTCCAGCAACTTCCCAGACGCCGGAGTCGGGAGCTCCGGCCCCCAGGTCCTCCTGCGCGCCCACCTCCCAGCAGAGCGCGGCTGGGGCGCGATCCGGGCCGTGGCCGCCGCGCGCCGGCCAGGAATTTCCTCCCTGCGCGCCCGCCGCGCCGCTCCACGCCCCCCGCGCGCCCCGGCCCGGCGGATGTCCTGAGCTCGCCGCCCGCGGCTCTGCGCCCCGGCCGGCGGGTGCTCGGGGGAGTTGGGGCGAGGCGGGCCGGGTATGCGCCATCACCATGGCCCAGCTGGGCTCGTGGCTCGGGGAGGTCCAGTGGCTAGTCTTGGTGTCGCTCTTCGTGGCGGCGCTGGTCACCGTGGGCCTGTACCTGGCGCAGTGGGGGCTGGCCAGGGCGCACCCCCGGCCTCGGCGGCGGTCGCCGGCGGAGCCTGGCGGGGGGCCGCGCCCCGAGTCCGACGCGCTGCTCTCCTGGATCCTGACGCTGAACAGCTGGAGGAGCCAATGGCAGGCGGCCTGGGTGGCCGCCCTGAACCGCGAGGCGGAAAGGAAAGGGGTGAGTTTCCGTAGAGAGGGGTCCAGCGGGGGGCCGGGGGCGGCTGCTGGCGGGGCGGGCAGCCGGAGTCAAACTCTCGCTCCTGGAGGCGGGGCTGCAGCCCCCGACCGATCCAGAGCGAGCCTTGGCGCAGTGGCACAACATCCCTGAAAGTTAGGGGAAGGACCGGGTGCGCCCAAGACCCTTGGTGGGGAGTCAGGACAAGGCGATTCGATTTTATTCACCAAACAGCAAGTGTGCCAGCCCTCGGGCTGCGAGGGGACAGATTACTGGCCGAGGGACTGGTCAGAAGGGCGCGTTCCTTCAGCTGGTGCCTGCCCTGCCCGGAGTCCCAGGGTGGATTTCTGTATCCGGTTGGGCACTTACTGATTTTGCACCTGATATATGAATAACTGTGACCCAAATATGCTTCCATCTGTAATAGAGCTGAATTGCACCGAGAATTTCTTTCCAAAGGCCAGCGTCTCTTGGCTTATAAAAATAGTGATCATTGTTGAGGGCCAGCCACTTGCCAGCTGTTGTACCTGGGGCTTTGGGTGTGTGCATCATCTCTTCATCACAGTTTGACAGGTGAGGAAACTGCCAGCTGGTGAGGCCAAGCAGTGTGCCCAGGGTCACCCAGCCTGTCTGTGGCCGAGTGGTGACGTGACCCAGCTGCCTCTGGCCCCGAGCTAAGGGCTTGTTACCTGGCTGCCCTGCCTCCCTGCTCCTGTGCTTGTTTCTTCCTTGGTAATTACTTGGTGACTGATTTTTTACTTTTAAGGCTTCTTGGTTTAATGACAGGCTCCTGGCGTCCACTATTTTTAGGCATTTGCTAGGGAGGAATCAGGGCCCCACGGGTCTGGGGAAGTGTCTCCCAGCCCCCGCTGCCTCCTAGCACCTGCCCGTGCAACTCAGCGGCCGTTCTCTCTGGAAACAGGGAACTAGTGAAAGCTGAATGTCTGGACCCATCAACCTTCAAAATATTCCACAGCGGGCCCTGTGCCTGGTCTCTGTGCCGTGGCCTTGGAAAACACAGCCATGGAAATAAAAAAACAAAAAAGCTTTGAGTATAAATTAGCATAAATCCAACAATTCAAGAGACCTTGTTCTGAACGCCTGGGGGAAAAAAATTAATAAAAAAATGTACCTTTTAGATGAACAAAGGCCTCAAAGTTTTGTTGCCGAGAATCTGGGCCTTGGCTGCCCGGAGCGGGACATCTCAGGGAACCAGCCGTGTCTTGTGGGAGCCCTGAAGCCCCATGTCCTCACACCCGGGAGCAATCACCGGTGTGCACACGCAGCAGAGACATGAAGCCGCTGTCACTGACCCCGGGTTGCCCTGGTGTCGCAGGCCTGCTGCATCCGTTGCAGGCACAAGTCTTGTCTCTGTTCCCCTCTGTAGGGTGCTGGTGTCAGGTCTGTGGGATCCTCCTGCATCTGACACCGGCACTCCTGACTGGGGTTCAGGCTCAGGGGCAGTGGCCCTACCTGCTGTGAAGTTGGGGTGGGTTGCCGGACACTTCTTGATTGGCCTCAGAAAATCTGATCCCCTTAGCTATCATGCTTCCATATTCCCGTGTGGTTGGGGTACTGAGAGAGAGGAGGAAGTCCCTGCCCTGGCATTTGTCTTGGGCTGCTCAAATCACTCTGAGAACACTGAGGAAATTATTTGGAAGTTTTGAAACCTTCTAGCTGCGTATCTCCGTGGGCTCGGGGTGGGCTTTGTGTTCGGGAAGTGGAGAGAGGGATTTGGCATGTTTGCATTTTCTCTGTGCTCTGTCTGCCGTTGGCCACAGCGTCCGGTCTCAGACTTCAGTTTTTCCAGCGCTCCGGCCTGGGAGGGCAATGGTGTACCCGGGTCAGGCCTGAAGCAGCGCAGGGGCATCTCTGGAATTCTTACGTGCACACGGGAGATGGGTTTTGTGACGCCAGTTGTGTGGTGCCACTCTGCTTTCCCGGGCCCTGGTGCCTGGGAGGGTTTTGCAGGCAGATAGGATCTGGGTGACTCGGCTCCCTGCTGCTGACCTGCTACACACCCTCTCGGTGTCCCAGGCCCTCCTGGGACAGCAGTGGCAGCGTGGGTGAGCAGGTGCTGGCGCTGGCACCCGTGGGTGTCCTGACCCCGGCAGGATTCTCTCTGCCCTCCCCCACTGCACTCCCACTAATCCCTGATCAGGGCTGACACTGCGCCGGCTCGCCCGGACAGCCAGCTTAGTGAGGCCCCCTGCCCCTGCCTTGTCCTGATGTCACTCTACCCTACCTGGGAGGAGGCCAGTTTTCGGCCTGTCACGGGGGAGCGAGGAGACGTGGCAACAACTTGATCATCTGCACCATCTTCTGTGGAAAGTGGAATCTTCTGTCGGACAGAGACAGCACCCCTCCCATTCTAAGTTTTACCCCGGCTTTGTATTTTAAGAAGGAAAGAAAACCCTGAACTCTTTTAGCTGAGCTCCCTTTCCTTCTCCAGAAAGGGAGACTGAGGCTGGTCAGCTAGATCTACTGAGGCCAGCCCAGACCCTGGGCTGGAGTCCTCGTGGTCCCTCCGTGACTGTAGCATGTCCCTGTGGGAAGCAATTTTGCTCTGAGACCCAAGTGCTTCCTTTAAGTGCGGCCGGCCGGGGAGCTCTGAGCGTGGGGCTGTTGAATGCATCCCAGACAGGGGGCTCCTGCCTCCGAGGGTTTGAGGATGGATCTGTACCCTGTGGAGTCCCCTCCTGTCTGATGGCTGATGACGTACCCTCCCGGTGACCCAGGCCTCCCTGGGCCTTTGCCGTGGGGACAGCAATGACAGCGTGGGTGAGCAGGTGTAGGCGGTGGCACTTGTGGGCACCCCGACTTGCAGCAGCCCGGGTCCCCTATGTCAGATGGCACCCCAGATTCCAGCCCTCACTCCGGAAATGTCTTTAAATTGCATGGGATGGCGATTTGGGCCCAAACAGAGGAAACTGTTGCCAACCTGGTAGCTCCTCAGGTGGGCACAGGTGCGTGGGGAGCACAGCAGACTCACCCTGAGGTCTTAGAAGTGCTTCCCCCTGCCAGTCTGGACTTAGCACGCATGTGCTGGCGGGAGCGTGCACGCACACCATGAGCACTTCCTACTGGCTGCGGATCGCAGTGAGAAGCTGCTCCTGGCACACGTGTCCCCATGCCAGCCACCAGCCAAGTTCCCCGTCCCTGGACAACTCTCAGGCTGGTTGTCTCAGTCTCTTGAGTTTCCACCGGGTCTGATGTTGCAAACACCTCATTCCCACTGAGCCAGGGCGGCGTTGGGCTGCGCAGCCCTCCCGAGCCCGGGCCCGGACCCGCGTGAGCAGCAGGGGCCCCAGAGAGAGGAGTGTGCCCTGTGACCAGCTCTCCGCCTGTCTCCTGGAGGCCCACTGAGCGGGTGAGGCCTGGATTAGGAAGGTCTTCAAAGCTGTTTGTTCCTTAGTCCTTTGGCCCAGGGTTTCTTCAGAGGAATGTTCTGATGCAAATGACCAGGACTGCAGAGCGGTCTCTGCAAAAAAAAAAATGTTGCTGTGTGAACTTAGAGCATGTTATTAATAGCTCTGACTTGCACATGAGTTTGTGCAATTTAAAAAGTAAATAATGTGGCCACAAGACTTCAGAGTCCTTGTGTTATACAATGACCTCCAGTCGTGTGCACAAAAACCCAGACTCCTTGGCCAGTGCCAGTGGCACGGTGCTGGAAGTCAGTTGGTACAACTGGCCACTGGGAAGAGGCTCCCTTCACCAGAAGAGGGAACACTGGCCTTTTGGGGGTGACTATCCCTGCACCCTCCCCCGTGACCTGCCCCCACAGATCTCCTTTCTGTTGTTCAGACCAGACACTCAGGGATTTTTCCTGTACTGGGGCCTTCCCACAGGTCCTCCTGTTAGGAGTACTTATCTCCCTTCACCTTATTCAACTTCCCTAAGCCTCCCAGGTCTGGGCTCAAAGGTCCCTGACCCTCCCAGTGTGTCCTGACGCTGCCCCACCTCTTGCCTCCTCACCCCCAGCCCCCGGTGGTCACCTATGCCCCAGGTGGTCACCTGTGCCCCAGGTGGTCAGCTCCCCGTCTTGTGAGCCGGGCAGGGCTGGACCCAGTGCCCGGGACAGAGCTGGCTTGGAGCAGGCCCCGTTGTCGTCCTGGGGTGAGTGACAGGGCCCGTGGAGGGGAGGGAACAGTGGCACTGCTCGTCACCCTGTCTGGACATAGGCCTTCTGGCTCGGGAGCTGGCCAAGCCTGGACAGAACAAGCTGTTTAATGCGTTTGCTTTTTCACTTCTAAAGCATCAACATTAAAGGAGGCCCACTGATGACTTTGCAGACCGTCCGTGGGAAGCCCAGAATAGGCGCTGGTTCTGGGTGTTCTTTGCGCTCGCCCATTTTCCCAACAAGAGAGGAATTCAGGAAAGAGTGGGTGTAGTGTTAACGTCAACTGAGATTCAGCCAAAGCTAACTTTTACTGCCCACTGAGGTTGCTGAGGAGGGAAGAGACTTCTCCAGCCGCTTGCAAGAGCGAATGTGAGGAAGCTCCAGGGTGGCGCCGGCTTCGAGTCCCGCTCTGCGCTCTACACTAGCTGTGGATCCTGGGCACGTCCTGACCTCCGTGGGCATTGTCTGTAGAAGGGGATAACTGGGTTCAACCCAGAAAACAAAATCTACTTCCGTAGACATCAGAGCAGACCTGTGCAAGACATTTAGCAAAATGCCTGTCATGAATGAGCCCATAAAGGTGGGCTGCTCTCTTGGAAAGTCTCCTTCTTATAACTTTTTAATCTTGAACGGCTTTTGGGTTTACAGAAAAGTTGAAAAAAATAATTCAGAGAGTTTCCATATAATCTTCATTCAGCTTCAGTGAGGAGAACCAAGAAATTTAATTGATACAATGTTACTACAATTCATTACACAACAAAGTTAACATGCCAATAATATAAGAGATTAAAACTGACACAATGTTTCTATAATGCATTATACAACAAAGTTAACATTGTGATAGTATAAGAAATTAACATCGTTACAATGTTACTATGATTCATTATACAATAAAGTTAACATTGTGATAGTGCAAGAAATTAACATTGTCACACGCCATTAGTAAGTAAACTAAAGACCTTATTTGAATTTCCCCAGTTTTCCACCAGTCTCCTTTTATTGTTCCAGGGTCCCCTTCAGGAGCCCATGTAGCATTGAGTTGTTACTTCTTGGGCTGCTACAGTCTGTAGTGGTTTCTCAGACTTTCTTTCTTTTTCATGACCTTGGTAATGCTGAAGAGTATTGATCGTTATTTTGCTGAATGTTTCTCAATTTGCCTGGTGTTTGCATTTGACTGGATGGAGGTTGTACAACCCGCAGTTCGTGCCTCTCTGGTGTACAACCCGCAGTTCGTGCCTCTCTGGTGTACAACCCGCAGTTCGTGCCTCTCTGGTGTACAACCCGCAGTTCGTGCCTCTCTGGTGTACAACCCGCAGTTCGTGCCTCTCTGGTGTACAACCCGCAGTTCGTGCCTCTCTGGTGTACAACCCGCAGTTCGTGCCTCTCTGGTGTACAACCCGCAGTTCGTGCCTCTCTGGTGTACAGCCCGCAGTTCATGCCTCGCTGGTGTACAACCCGCAGTTCGTGCCTCTCTGGTGTACAGCATCATGGGACTCATGGCGTCAGTGTGAGGTGTTGCGGGTGCTGCTCTTGTTGCCTCGCTAAGGTGGTTTCTGCCAGCTTTCCTCCTCTTGTATTTATGTTTCTTCTTATATCTTTAGCCTTGCAGTTAACACATATCTTGGGGAGATATTTTGAGACTATACAAATCCTTTGCTTTTTAAACAAAGGATTTGTTTAAATCTTTACTTCGAAATAAGATATGTGCAGTGTGCATAGGAATTTGTTCATAGTTTTTTTTAAAACTATAGTCTGGCCCTCCAACGGTCTGAGGGACAGTGAGGATTTGTTCCTCACTGGTTTTTGCATCCATCGGTGCATGTTTTCTGTAGCAGTTACTTATTTGCAGTGTGCTAAATGTTGACTTTGTTTCCCCTTTAACGTCTACATTTATTAATTAGAACTATACTGCAAGAAAGAACTGCCACTTCTCCATCTATGTTTTAGCAGTTAACTGATTAGTAACCTTAGTATGGCCTTATGGATATTTATTTTATGCAATGGCTTATAATCCAGTGAATCACTATTCATTTGTTTGCTTAAATTGTTCTTGGTTGGGCCATTAGCAGCTTCTTGTTCTTCCATTAAGCTCATGTGTTTTTTGTTTTGTATCTTTTGTGTTTTTGTTTTGCACTTCCTTCTTCTGTGGTTCCAGGAGATGTTTGCTTTAAGCTCTTTTGTTTTTCTCTCCCCTGGCCCTGGATTCAGCCACTTCTCCGAGCAGCCCCGATTCCTTTTATTGGGGAAGCGTTAGGAAACCAAGATCTGGTGTTGGACGGCTCACTACTGCTTAGGCTCATTGCTCCTGCACCCTCCCGGCGACAGAGCCAGGGAACGTGTGTACCAATGCACGCCTACGGAGGCCTGCATTTCTGTGTCTTTCTTTGGATATATCTTAAACACGATGACAAATGTATACTGACACCTTGGGTTTCAGAGCAATGGCACAGACTTCATTTTAGTTTTCCCCTGTTTTTGTTCTTAACTCCCTTCTCCAGGAGTAAGCTATCTGGCCTGACCGTGTGTAATATATTTACTTATTTGTCCAGTTCTAGTGTGCACCTGAAGGAGTTTCTGAATTGCTAACGCATACCCAGGTCAGAAGCACATTTATTAGATTGCAGCATTTACGTGCAGTCAAGATGCTGCTCTCTAAAGTTTCTCAGGTTGTATCTCTGCCCTGCGACTATGGCATTCGTTCGTAATATAGTGACGTGCTCGTGCATCGGAACTGCGGTTTTCATTACGGTGGTTCTATAGTGTGTCTCAGTGTCCGGTGGAGATAGTGACCCTGGTAGTTTTCCTGGCTGTTCCTGCGTGTTTCTTTTCCCGCGTGGAGGTAAGTCTCACTTTGGCGTAAGTGGCATGGTGTCTCGGCGTGGGCAGGGCGGCAGAGGTGCGGAGACCCTGCGTGCGCCCGTGAGCCACAGCCACGTTCTGCTCCCGAAACCCAAGGACAAGGCTGATTGGGAAGGAAAGGCCATCTCTCTGTCCTTGTTTTAAGTCAATTTATTTTCTCTGTGAGACTGCCCCTTGACATACAATTTCCCAGCAAAATCTTTTCAGGATTTTAATCCAGAAGGTGCCCCAGGGAAGAGGGTAAATGCTGCCCATGCCGCGGGCTTGTGCAAGGCAACATTGTGTCTTTCTGCTGCTACAGAAGGCACATTGTTTCATCCTCCTCCGTCCCCGCGGCTGGAGCGTGGCCTGTGGCCGGTTTCCTGCCTGGCACTGGCCTCCGCGCCGGGTCTGTTCTCTCAGGCGGGCAGCTTGGCCACAGAGCAGGGGCGTCACCAAGCTCACCGTGTGCCCCTTGGCCAGCAGGTCCCGTCAGAACAAGCCCCAGCACAGAATGCCGGACCAGCATCCCTGAAACCGGGATTCCATCCCTCCGAAGCAGATTTAATTCTCTGTTGATTTGTTGTGGGTGAGGTAGATGTTGCTAGAACAGGGTGGGGTTAGAAGCACATAAATTAAAATATTCTGTGCCTTCTAGGTTTACTCTTGGTCGTTGGGAGTTCTCAGGAAATAGCCGCAGGATGGATTCACTGCTTGCTCACTTGCTCTGTGCCTGCCAGCGCAGCCCTGGCGCCATCCGCACGGCTACCGCCGTCCCTGTGGTGGCCCTGCCTCCTATCTAGGGCCGGCTCGCCGCCGAGGAGCATCTCCTCACTGGATGAGACGTGGAGGCAACTGGTGGGGCTGCACGCTTTTCAGGTGCCCAGTGAGAGCTTAACCATGACGTGCACTTTACAGCAGGCTGGGAGGAGAGTGCACGAGAGTTTGGACCCAGGGTCATGTGGTCGGCATGTGTGCTTAGAGTCTCCCGAGAACTTAATTATATCCAAGCTCTGAGTTCTTCGTTTATGAACCAGTGTTCTTGCTGCCTCGTGGCCATGTTCACTTAACCACTTGGGTATGGCGCTCAGCCGGCACTCACAGCCCGCACGGGGGTCTGCGCCGGGCGTTGACGACGCGTCCGTTTTGCTCTTGTGTGATGAGGAAGGCTTGAAAGCGCTGAAAGCTTGTTTCACTTTACAGGCAGCTTTAGGAAAATAACTATAATAACTCCTACTAAGGACGTGTTAAAAGGTCACAGATTCGTAGTAACTCATTAGCTGAACGTACACACCGCAACTGCAGAGATAAGAGCAAAAGCTTCTGGCTGTCGACTTAAATCAACGCTCGGCTGTGCGCCTTCAGGTCACGGCTGTCGGCTAGAGTCCATGCTCTCGTTCATCTGTGGCTGTCGACTGTAGTCGACGCTGGTACCGAAGTGGTTAATTACACATCTCTCACGTGGAGGTTTTTAATTGCGAGAACCAGAGTAGACACGAGCTGCCGAGTTTGCTGGCAGGGTACTGCAGGCAGCGCAGGGCTGGGCAGAGCCGAACCCTGAGGCCGGGGGGCTCTGGAGGCCGAGGAGCCCACCCAGTGGGGACAGCCGCCAGGCAGGCTCATTTCCAGCCAAGGAGTGTTGTCTGTCTCTCAGACCCCAGGGAGAGGCCAGGGCCGGGGCTTCCCACCCGCCCCCTGCTCGGGCGGAGGGAGAGGAGGATGGGGGAGCAGCTTCAGCACCGGGCCACTCTCCCAGACACAGCCCCGCGCCTGCTGTGGGGGCCAGACCCCTGCAGGGCCGCCACTCCCACTGCCGCGCGGGCAGCAGCCGGGTCGGGAGACTGCGGCCTTCCCGTACGCTGTCCACAGGAGGTCTCAGAACACCCTTCGCTGTCTTGTTGCAACGCCTTTGGGTGGGTCCCCCGTTTCCCTCCTCCCATAACCGAATCCTGCCCATCGAGCACACCCGTCACCAGCTGCGCTCGGCTGCGAGAACCTACTGATGTTTAGCCATTGCTGCTGCGTAGAAGCACGGATTTCACTGAGAGACGTCTTACTGCCTTTGCTTATATTTGCAGAGCTTTATACAAATACATAATTATTTTTGAGACAGATTCTCACTCTGTTGCCTGGCTAGAGTGCCGTGGCGTCAGCCTAGCTCACAGCAACCTCTAACTCCTGGGCTCAAGCAATCCTCCTGCCTCAGCCTCCCGAGTAGCTGGGACTACAGGCACGTGCCACCATGCCCGGCTAATTTTTTCTATATGTTTTTAGTTGGCCAATTAATTTCTTTCTAGTTTTAGTAGAGATGGAGGTCTCGCTCTTGCTCGGGCTGGTCTCCAACTCCTGACCTTGAGCGATCCTCCCGCCTCGGCCTCCCAGAGTGCTAGGATTACAGGCGTGAGCCACCGCGCCCGGCCTACGTGATTTTTTTTTAAAGCAGCTGCTCCTGTGCACGTGCCTCATGCTGTTTCTCTGTGCAGGGCCCGCTGTCCCTGGCCTTTGAGGAGGACCCGCGGCAGGAGCCCCTGGAGCTGGCGGTGCAGGAGGTCTCCAGCGTGGCCAGGTCGGCCGAGGAGAAGGTGAGCCCGGTGCCGTCCCTGCGGGAGGGAGAGAGTTTAATGCTGGGGGTGGGGGGATTAATTTTGTTTCAGAATTATTTAGTGAAAATGCAGAATGCTTATACCAGGGGCTGAAAAAAAAAAGATCTGGCCCACCAACTGATGAATGGATGAGCAAAGTGTGGTCTACCCATGTGATAGAATAATTTATTCAGCCTTAAAAAGGAAGGAAATTCTGACATATGCTACAACATGGATGAACCTTGAATACATTATGCTAAGTATTGATAAAAGAAGCCACTCACAAAAGCCCCATATCTCGTATGACTCCATTTATATGAAAGATCCTGAATAGATAAATCAATAGAGACAGAGAGTAGATTCGTTTTGCCAGGGTTTGGGGGAGGGGAATCTTTGGGAGGAAATGGAGAGAGATTGCTAATGGGTATGAGGTCTCTCACTGGGGTGACGAAAATGTCCTGAAAGTGATGGTGATGGTCACACGATCCTGAGAACAGATTAAAAACCATTGAATTGTACGGTGTGAACAGGTGAATTACTTTATGTAAATTGTATCTCAGTAAAGCTGATGTGTGTGTGTGTGTCTGCAACATGCCATATATATTTGAGCCGTTAGATCAGGGGTCCTCAAACTTTTTAAACAGGGGGCCAGTTCACTGTCCCTCAGACCGTTGGAGGGCCAGACTATAGTTTTAAAAAAACTATGAACAAATTCCTATGCACACTACACGTATCTTATTTCGAAGTAAAGAAAACAAACGGGCAAAAACACTCGCATGTGGCCCCTGGGCCGTAGTTTGAGGACGCCTGTATTAGATACTATGTAGAATTCATTTTCCTGCTGCTAACAGTTCCTAGGCTGAACTTAGTAGACTGGCTGGATGCCATAAATCATAAAAAAAAAAAGCTTCTATAATGAGTCCTAAGAAAGTTTCTCTGAAATGCAAGACTTACCCTTGTATTGATTAAATTATTATTGTTGTTGTTGTTGTTATATATTAATAGCTTCTTTCCCTTAAGCTCTGAATTTTTTCCCCATTAATAAAAATGATTTACTTGCCAGGGACATCGGCATAACTACCAAATCCCAAGACGCGCTCCAAATGGAGAAGCACAACGTCCTTGCTGCCTGCTCAGTGCACCCGACTGGTAGTTTACAGTCTGGAGTGGCAGTTAGACTCCAGGGTGTGGTCTCACTTTGGGAGGAAAAGGAATCAGTGAGTGCTTCCCCCAGCCTTCACTCTCATATTTATTTCCCACACGTGTATATATAGAGAGAATGTAGTTCTAAAAACATCAGTGACGGCGAAATTCCGTCCTCGGTCCCATCTCCAGCGGTGACTGTTCTCCTAGACAGCTGCTCGGTCTTCGTTCTCAGCCTGTGTTCACACTGAACGTGTGTGTGTTTGCACGCGCGTGTATTTTAAAGGTGCCGTATGTTGCTGATGGATCTGTCTGCATTGTATTATCAAGTTAAACCGAGTGTGCCATTTAGCAGACAGTGACTAAGCCAGACAGTGTCGCCAGCCCCCAAGCCCCACCTCTGGTGTCTCCCTGTCACAGCTGCAGTGTCCTTTGTGCATTTAAAACTTTTAATCATTTTTACGTAGAGTTGTGCAGCAGACTTTCCCCATAGAGAGCACCGTGGTTCTGAGACTCATCAAGGTTGATTTTTGTGGCTCTAGTTCATGTGCTTCAACTGCAGTCCTGGGGTTCTAGGGGAACCAGAGCTTGCTTACTCATCTGCCACTGCTGAGTGATTAAGGCGTTTTCTCTTTTTCACGAGTGTACGTTGACTGTCCCTTATCCAAACGTTTGGGACCAGGGGTGTTTTGGGTTTTGGATTTTTTTTGTGTGTGTGTGTGGAATATTTGTATCATTTTTTTTTTACCAGCCATGCATTCTTAATCCAAAACCCTCCAGTGAGCATCTCCTTTGTGCATCACGTCAGCAACTCAAAAACGTTCAGATTTTGGAGCATTTTGAATCTGGATGTTTGAATTCGGGGCGCTCAACCCGTAGAAACCATGCTGCAGTGAGCATGTGTGTTTACTCACTCCTTGGGCACAAGCGCAGGGCTGTCCCAGGGATAGGCAGGGACTTGCTGGGTTGCAGGCATGTGTGTTAGCTCAACCGAGTATGCCCGAATCCACCGGTTCAACAGCCTAAGTGCCATCCCAGTTCCCTCTGCCCCAGCGGCGTGGGAGAGTGAGTGCTCTCTCCCCGAGTCCTTTCCGATACTGAAGCTACACAGCGGCGTGGGCCCTGTGAGTGAGTGCGGGAAGTCGCTGGGAGGTGCCAGGGAAGCACGGCCAGAGCACGGGATGCTCAGACCAAGGCAGCCCACGTTGCTGGGAGGGGCCCGGCAGCCAGTGGTCCCGCGCCCATTTTCAGACTGGAAAGGTGAGGTGCAGAGGGCTGCGGCCCGACCTCCCTGGGCAGTGCACACCCTCTCTGCTAGTGAACAAATAGGGAATGAATCCTTCTGTGTCTGGGCGGTTTCTCTATGGTATTTCCTGACGATTTTCCAAGTAGGAGAGGAATGGGACACTCAGGGCCGGCCTGGACAGGTAGGGGGGACGCAGAGATGTGGAAATAGCAATAGTCCATTTCCAAAGGTCTCTATATGGCCAGAAAGGGAGCCTTAGAAAGTGGATGGGTAGACGGTATTCCTTTCCTTTTAATATAATTTAGTATAATTATAGAAATAGAAATGACAGAAGTGGTACTCGTAAATTAGAAGTTAAAAACAACATAGCCTCTGAACACCCGTGTTCATAGCTGCGTCTTTCGCAGTGGCAGAAAGGTAGATGACCAGATGCTCACTGATGGGTGGCTGGGTAAACCGAACGCAGTGTGACACACAGTGGAATGTTATTTAGCCTTGAAAAGGAAGGGAATTCTAACACATGCTACAACGTGGATGAACCTCAAGGCCATTTTGCTGAAGGAAATAGGCAGCCACAGAAAGTGAATGATAGCAGTCATAAAAAGACAGCTTAGTTACGTGAGTCCACTTACATGAGGTCCCTACCGCAGTCAAATTCACAGAGACAGAAAGTAGAATGGTGGCTGCCCGGGTGGGGGGTGGAGGATGGGGAATCATTATTTAATTGGAACAGAGTTTCATTTGGGGAAGATGAAGAAGTTTTGTGGCTAGAAAGTGGCGATGGCCGCACACCAAGGTGAGCGTGCTTAGTGCCACTGGACTGTGCACTTCAGAATGGCTAAGATGGTAAATTCCATGTTACGTATCTTTTGTCACAAACATAAAAAAATGGAGGTATGTAAAAAATTTTTTTAGTTTTTCATCTAACAAGAGCTTTATTAAAAAGTCATTTACCCTTCCTTTACCTGAGATATGATTTACTGACCCTTGCCAAGCACCAGCGATTTTATTTTAAAAAACTTATTTTTAAATTGACAAATAAAAATTGTATATGCTTACGGCACACAACGTGATGTTTTGATGTATGCACACATTGTGGAATGGATGAGTCAAGCTAACTAACAAACTTTGTGTGCTTATTGTTTTTGTGTGGTTGGAACACAAAGTCTACTCTGGCAATTTTCAAGTATACAGTATATAACTTTAATCGCCACGTTGCGCAGTAGCAGATCTCCGGAACTCATTCCTCATGGCTGAGACCAGCATCTCCCCATCGCTCCACCCGAGCCCTCGGTAACCACCGTTCTGTTCTTTCACTTTTCCCGAAAGTGAAAGAAAAAAGAAAACACTTTTTCCACATGTAAATGCACTTGTGGAATTTGTCTGTCTGTGCCTGGCTTATTTCATTTAACATAACGTCTTCCAGGTTGACCCATGTTGTCACAAGTGACAGGCCTTCCTTCTTTATTTAAGGCTGAGTAGTATTGCCTTGTGTGTGGACACCACATTTTCTTTATCCATTCATCCACTGATGGACACTTAGGTTGGTTCCATGTCTTGGCTGTTGTGAATAGTGCTGCAGTGAACGTGGGGGTGCAGATGTCTCTTCCACATAATGACTTTATTTCCTTCGGATATTCAGTCGACCCTTGAACAAAGTGGGGGTTAGGGTCACCAAGCCCCTGCACAGTCAAAAATCTGAATATAACTTTTGACTCCCCCAAAACTTAGGTAGTAATAGCCTGCTGTTGACCGAAAGTCTTACCAATAACATTAACAATTGATTAACACATATCTTTGTATGTTATATGTATTATAGACTGTATTCTTACAATGAAGTGAGCTAGGAAAAAAAAAGAAAATTTTATTAAGAAAATTATAGGGGAGAGAAAATATGTTTACTATTCGTTAAGTAGAAGTGGATCATCATATAGGTCTTCATCCTCATCATCTTCATGTTAAGTAGGCTGAGGAGGAGGAGGAGGAAGAGGCGGGGTTGGTCTTCCTATTTCAGGGGCTGCTGAGGCAGAAGACAATCGGCGTATAAGTGGATCCCCAGAGTTCAAAGCCATGATGTTCAAGGGTCAACTGTATACCTGGTAGTGGGATTGCTGGATCATATGTTAGTTCTATTTTTAACTTTTAAAGAAACCTCCACACTGCTTTCCATAACGGCTGTACTAATTTTCATGCCCACCAATACAGCACAAGGCTCCCCTTTTCACCATAACCTTGCCAGTACTCGCTTCCTTTCATCTTTTTGATAATAGCTATTCTAATAGGTGTGAAGCGATATCACATTGTGGCTTTAATTTGCATTTCCCTGATGATTAGTGCTGTGAGCATTGTTTTCATACACCCGTGGGCCATCTGTATGTCTTCTCGTAAGAAATATCTATTCAGATCCTTTGACCATTTTTAAATCAGGTTATTTGTTTCCTTACCATTGAGGAGTTTGAGTTCATTATATATTTTTGGATATTAACCCTTATCTGATGAGTCCTTTGCAAATATTTTCTCCCATTCCATAGGTTGTCTCTTCACTCTGTTGATTAATTCCTTGGCTGTGCAGGAGGTTTTTAGTTTAATACAATCCCACTTGTCTGTTGTT